CACTGGGTTAGTTAGAGTACAAGTACAGTGTATGTTACTACAAATAACAGTATTTTGCAGACAAAAAAAAAAGAAGACAATATTAAAGAAAAGGAAAAAAGTCTGAAACAATACTCTTTGCCACAATACACACAAAACCTGGGCTATTTGTGTTTTGTCCTTATACTTCTGCTTGATGATAGATGTGCATTCTAGAGAAATCATTTGTGTAAATGTGGTCAGACATAACTTTGTGCCTCCTAAGTTTAAGAGTTCATACATGAAATCAACAGAGACCAAAGAATTTAAGTCTTAGTTCATCTTTCTGTGTTTATGGGAGAGATTGTTTCACCTTCTTTTCTGGGAACCAGTTTTTCTGGTTTTATTCCAAAACAGAATACCTTTAAACTAAACACACAGACAAAAAAGAAATTCACAATTTTTCACTTATGCTGTTACCGGCTTAATACTATGCTGCAGTTAATTTTTCAAGAAAAAAGTAAAGCATAAGCATTTTTTAAAAGTATTATGTTAAATATTTGCTCCTACAATTCTTATAAAGAAAAATATAAATTATTTTAAAAATAAATAATATTTTGAGAATCCTTAAATTTTGGCTTTCCACTTCCATGTATGTAAAATGGATTCATTTTCATGACATTTTCATTAGGCAATTTCTAACAAAGCAATTCCACTGTGATGATCCCAACTGCCATTTGAAAATATCTGAAGTGAGCTTCTCCACAGAAGAAACTATTCAGACTACCCAAAATTTATCATGCCACCACCCTAGTGAAAAGACTAACTGTAAGGAGATCCAGTTTTCAGGGCTTTCTGTGTAGAGGTGGCACTCCTGTGCAGTGCTTTATTGGAACAGTTTTACTAGTGAGTCAGACCTTTCATTAGCAAAAAAAGGCGAGCAGAAATATTTCTTTCACTTTGCCTTTCAAACTCTCTGTTTGTCGCTTTGCCTGTTAAAGACTCAGTTTCAGGCTCCAACAGAGATTTCTCATTAACCAGAGCATCAGAACACTGCAGTGGTGTAAATTCCATATCATTAAATCTTTGATGCATCTGTCAAGACTACCATCACCACCTGTCGTAGCTGTGAAGATATTCGTCCATGGGAAATTTGAATAGCACTGTGACTTTCTATCATACAGGTCCTTTTACAGACATCACTTTTGGTTGCTATCAAAGATAGGTCAAATGGAGTGCTGGATGTGTAACCTCTTGGCCTATTACTTTTACTGGAAACTCAAATCCTGGTTAACCTATAGTCTTGAACACCAAAACACGCGAGTCTATTTGTGCTTACTGCACATCCAAGGGAAATGTCTTCTAATTTAAACTACTGAACTAGCAGTTGAGTGGACTGTGATTTATTCCTGTGCTTTATTGTCCTGACGCAAATCTTCTACAGCAAGTTATTTGATTCTTTTTTATGCAAGTTTCACAAGGGGTGTTGAGGTGCATAAACTAGTTAATCAATATTTTTTGCATAGTTGTGATACCTAAATTAGGAGCAAACTTGTCTACTTTTTTTTTTCACTGTTGAGTTTTCAAACTCATAGAAGAGCAGTATTTTGTTTCTAATATTAAGTTGTATGTGTTGATTTGATAGTGATTCTGAGATAGCCTCAGAGGTAGCATAATAGAAGTGCAAGTTATTAATTTCTGTAGCGCTAGACTACCAGACTATTTTAACAATATGAAAGATTAGAGAACATAGGAAAGAACTGCACAACAACTAAAATTTACAGGATATCCACCTTCATCTGGTTGTTATCTGGAAAAATTCTGTGGTTTGAAAAATCACGGTAGTTGCAAACTGGACAATGGAACTAGAGCTAAGGTAACGTATAATACTGAAATAAAGGGAGAAATCCACTACTTTCAGCATTTGCAAAACCACTGTTGACGTTACTCTGACACTTAATGTAGAAAAACATGAACCAAGCCAAGATGTAACAACCTTTGAGAAAAGCAAGATGGTACAAGAAAGGTGGTGTTGTGAAGAAATAGTATCTATCTCACCGTTTGAGCCTATGTCCTGCTAGAGGCCACCCTGAGTACAGTCCCAAGGACTCTACTGTACATGGAAGCAGCTTCCACTTTACGTGCACAAGATTTTAATAAATTATAGCCATGCATTTATGTGTTCTGTATTCATAGTTAGTGTGGAGCTGAATTTTGAAGACACCTAAACACACCTATGATTGTTTTGGTACCTCACTTGGTCTTTACCCAGTGACTGATGTGCTCAGGTTTTTTCTAAAATTGCAACCCCCTAAATAAACAACTGCTATTTAAAAAATAAAAACTACATGGAGACAAAAGTATTCTTCGTACTACAAAAGGGTATTTCCCACATCCTTCCCCCAGGGGTGCATCTGCCTACAGGGGCACAGAATTGATTTTCCTTCAGAGAGAATCAATTGTGAACCAGTTGTACTTTTTCCATATGCTCCAAATTTCACAACTTCAAGGATGAATCTACTGTAGATTTAGAATCTTGTTGAGTAGCTTATTAGGTTATTAGACTAACTCTACTCGTGTAGACTCCTACGTGGACAAGATAAACAGGTGGCATGTTAAGGGTGCCGTTCTGCTTCTGGTTCCTATTCTGCCTCAGGGTTCATCTGAATATCCTGCATGACACTGCATTGTGCCAGGCAAACATTATCTCCATGATTAAGGACTGAATCCATCAGGGTGCTTAAACACCTCACTACCAACAAGTCTAAAGTTAGATTGTCAGAAGCCTTCAGGAACTGCCTCAAATTCATAGGCACCAATATTTCTGGCTATAAAATCCACTACGTTTCTGTCACTCAGAGCTATTGTCATCATGCTGATGACAGGAAAGGTGTCTTTACCTTTGAAGAATACACAGAAGGAGGAATGTCCAATATACAACCCTCAAATCTCTCCTTTCATTGATTTGCTACTGGGAATTGAATAAAGTTTCTAAGAAAGCATGTTAACAACTAGATTTTTATAAGACAGTTCTTTATTTCCTGTCCCTAATGAAGCAACATGACTTTTTATATAATAAATACTCATCATGAAAGCATTACAATTAAAATTAATATCACAGATAATTAAAATGTCAGAAACTATCAATGTTATAATGTTGAAGACTCAGTCGTCTATTGGAAACAAAGTACACGTGATAAAGTGAAAATTGCAATAAATGATTTTTTTTAATTTTTCATTTGGCATAGGAAAAGTAGAAGTAGAAACTTTCTTTAAAAAAATATTAGGACAAGACTGGGAATAGGCTTTATTAAAAGATTATCATATTACACTTTATTCAGACAGAAGAGAGTTCAGTTCCTGGGAAACAGCAGTGACTAACCTCACAAGAGTTTGATCCTTAGGATCAGTGATCAAAGTTTTACTCATCTCAGGCTCTGCTTTTCTGTTTGAACTAAGTACCAGCAGTTACCAGTGTACTCAAGTGTAATCTCTTTTTTGTCATGTAAATGTTCCTGTAGATTGTTTTATGGGCCTTGGAGTTGGACCTCTTACTTATGATGTCTGTGGTAGTTCTTCCATTTATCTATAAACATTTTTGATTGGATCTTTAGGAAACATCCTGATAGGCAAAGTAGATAAAATTCTAAATGAATCTACATAAAAATCCTTCTTATGGCATACATTATCAATAGAACAAGAACAATCTCCCTGCCCATCCTGTCCTGCTCTTCACACATCCCTTTAGTTAAAACCCGTTATTTTTTACTTTCCCAATACTATTCAGCAGGAGGATGCTTTCACTCATCCATTTGGTGGGCTGCTGCAGTTGCCATGGCAGATGCTCTGATTAATTACAGGCCCCAGCTAATTTTTAAAAAACTTTTGGATGATTTATCAGTGACAGGGATCAACAAATCCTTTGATAAATCTCAACATTTGTTATAAATTTTCTCTTGTAAGTTTCTACTTCTTTTCCAATAGTAAATAAATTGTGACAGTGGGTTATTTGGGAATTTTAACATTGGTGACAATTTCTAGGCTTAGATGGGCAGAATTATCATCTTGCATCATAGTCTGCCAACTGCAGCGTCCTGTTCCTATGAAAGACCACATAAGATCACATAGTTGCAAGAGAAATCTATTCATATGCTTCTTTGGAGCTTTAAAGCTGGAAACTGCATGGAACTGCATGAGGCTTGTACTGAACTAAGTGGATTTATGGTGATATTCTCTATAGGGTGGAGGTGGGACTGGAAAGAAGAGCTCGTCTCTGGAAGGTTACAAAGAGTTACAGAGGTTGTATGGGCAGGTTCAGCTCTTCTCAGACTATTGAGGAAAATTTTAATCTATTTCCCTCCTTTCCACTTTGGCAATTGATAAAGAGCATAAAATTCAAGTTTTGTGTTAGGTTTTAACAGGTTTTTTTTCCCCACTTCTTTCCTACTTTTTAGTATAAAAATAATTTGTGGCACTAAACCTGCATTATATGGGAAAACTGTTGTTTAAACATGTCTTAAAATGGCTTTTGGTGGTCTCTTTGCAAACACATGCTTCTTCTTCCCAACACCCCCCATGGTAGTGTTATCTCAGGAATGTTCTGGGAAGGTGTCCTGAGGTGTTTCTTATTGGTCCTTGTTAACCCCTTGCTGTGATTGGGTGTTCCTGTAAGCCCCTTGAGACTTCTAATTGGTTACTCTGTGAATCCTCCTAAACCCTATAAATGTAACATCCCCAACAATAAACGCTCTCTTGCCTCCTCTCCACGCCCTCTTGCCTCCTCTCCACACCCGGTGTGCTGTCTCTGTGCCAGCCATGGAGCCACGTGTGTGGGGGGAGGGGAGGGCACCTCTCCCCTCCAGGCTCAGGGCCAGAAGAAACCCCTGAAGAAACCCCTGGAGTTCCCTTTCCCTGTCCTTCAAGACATCGGAATGGTTCCTCAGATGGAAATGGAACTAGAACTGGGCCGCCCCACGTCATGGGTGGGGAAAGGGATCCAGAATAATTGGTTTCATGGAGTTGGTCTGTTTAATTTTTCAACTTATCTTGAATGTCTCCACTCCATACAAGATGCTCTGGAGGAACGTGGAAAACCCTTTGCAACTGCCATCTAAACATCAGGTTTCCCACGGAGGCTTGCCTGCAAATGTAACAAGTTCTTTCTTTTTGCCTGCATAATTGGGTGACTGCCCAGAAAGAAAAAGAATGAACTCTCCAGCTCCTGTCGGATCTTCCTGAAAATGTAAGTTTCTGTACCAGACTGAAAGCAAAGGCTTCTGCATAAAACATTAATATACCAAAAATGTTACTACCTATAATGGACTGCATATCTACACATCAAAGTCCTACTTTTTCCCTCCAAAAAGGTCATACCACACTGATCACATTTTGTGCCTTCTCAAGAAATCAGGATTGATCTGTTAGCTTTAGAGAAACTTTGGGAGATACTGGATAAATGGTAAATACATAGTCAAAAAGAATCCACTGAAATGTTTGTGAACCATTTTTCAACCACCCTATAACAAATTTAAGATTGAAACTGAAAACTCAAGATGGAACTATTACTGTTTCTCAGGAAGAAAGCAGAAGGAAATACAAGCTACATGCCCCCACAAGGTCAGATTTCTTTAACTAAATTTCCCCAAGGATCCTAGGAGCACACCCAGTAGAAGAATGCAGGGAGATGACTGGTAGAAAAGGATGAGACACCTCTGCCTACAGAGCTACAGAGCAGTCTGGTTCAACAGTGACAAATCTTGGCTTGGTACTAAGTGACAGTGTAAAGGACAGGAACACTGCGGGCCATATGGCAAACATTTTTATTTGGTAATGGGTGTTTATACATTTCATACTGCCTCTCTGGAGACATGACTAGAAAGATGGGATGACAGGTCCCAAAAGAATAGAAGTTCGTATTTCTGACTCATCATTCACCCTACCTCTTTATTAAGAATGTGATCTTATTCAACACAAGTATACAAAATACAGGAGATGCAATAAATAATTGGCTAAACCAATGAATTTACATTAATGACTATGAGCATGGATACAGATCACTACTTTGAGGACTGAAAAACCATATGTATTTTAAAAGGTTTTCTTCCGTGAGCATTCAGATGATGTGATATTTGATCCTGTATGGATTTTTTTTATATTTAGAATGACTTCTCTCATATTTTTTAATATGTTTATCTTTGTTACTTAACTAATATTAGCAAAGCAGATGATGCATAATTTATACAAAGAATGATCTCCATTCAGCACTTAGAGAAGCAAGAAAGTTACAGGCAATCACCAGCTTCACTTTTTGATAGGCCACGCAATGAGCATCTGTGCATTAACCCAGATTCTGCAGGTGTGTTGTTTCCAAAGCAAAGGAAATGACTAAAAAGGCAACCCCATTGACCTTTGTCTCTGGATTATCTTTTGTAGCCCTTTCTCTCCCATCGTTTAGTGTTTCAGTATGATTGTCTGAAACTGGATGGATCTGAGCTGCCGAAACCACCAACGAGCTTACATGAAGAACAAGTAGTTGTACTGTCTTCCTCAGCCTACACACTGACTCATTAATATATTTTTTGAAGTTCTGGCAGCTCTGTCAAGAAGTCTGTGAAGGAATCTTCAAAAAGGAAACTTTGCACTGAGAGAATGTGCAAAGCAAGTATGTGTTTGGCAGAGTGGCAGAAACTATAGAACAGTTTCTTGCCAATTGCTCAGATAACATAATGCAATTCAGGAAACAATACTGGCCTGGAATACTATAAAATAAAAAGCAAAATAATTTCTGGGTGGAAAACAGTAATTTTGGCATCAATAACAGCTTCATAAACATAACATGTTCTGTGTATGTCTTGCGTTAAAGCAAGAGTGAAAGAGCAAAGACTAAGCTTTGAAACATGGATGAAGTAGACAAGACTTTTGTATTGTACTTACAGTGTTTTGTTGCATTGATTTTGATGGAATATATAGGCTTCAAAGTTGTTAACAGGACCAACACTAAATAATCAAATAAGGTTCAAATTTCAATTAGAGAGGACTTGACTTCTTTAGTTTCATGATGTAAAATTACCATTACAACAATTTTAGGCAAGTTAAATATTATACAAAAGAAGGAACAAGAGGTAAAGCATTTGTAATATAGCAGAGTAATTAAGCCTTGTAATAACACTCCTTTTTCCTATTCCTTTCAAAAACAGAGAATATTTGAAGAAAAAATCCTTTGACTGACAGGATTTCAGATGGCTTATAGAAAAGAGAAATATATTCAAGTTTATCTACTTTATTCATGTTAGAGTCCTGAAGGTAGAGTGGGAATAATAAATGCAAAATTTGTAGGAAAGAATAACCAATACTGTAAAGAAAATATAATCTTCTGGTTCTCAGTTTAACTTTTCGGTCTGACCTCCTGAAAATATAATCAAAATAGCAGAATAGCATAGGTTCTTGCTCACTGCTCTTATACCTAGCAAATTCCATAACTTTGTGAGGTTATTTCATAGAATCGTAGAATCATAGAATAGCTTGGGTTGGAAAAGACCTCCAAGATCCTCAAGTCCAACCTCTGATCCAACTCCAATTACTATATTACTATATTTAAAGACCTCATTATTACTATGTCTTTGTATTCATAGATCAATGCGTGCTACCAACGTGCAATAGATCACTAAGTCAAACTTAGGCTAAAGAGTAGCCAAAAACCCCCACAACTGAGAACCAGTTATGTGTTGTAGAGGTTCTTCACGACTAAAGTCACCAAAAGAGGTGACTGCTCTCTGAATTGTTCTCTGTATTTCCGTATGGACAGACTTACTGCATAAAATGGTATGACAGAGGCCTGAAGATGCCATAGTGGAGTTTAGCATCTATGAGAACGATGCTAAAATTCACTTCTTACTTCACCTCTTCCGTAGTCATTATTGACAAATCAAAAGGCAATGAATAAAGTACCCTACTCTCTATTTTTCCCATTATTTACAATTGATTTCTGATATAACAATTTTTGTCTATACGTTTGTAATCTTAGTCTTTTTTGTTTGCCACATATAATTTCAGTACAGTCCTTGGACTGTAGAACTGCTTCAGAAACATTTATGCTTGATTTGCTTAACTCCTTGTTTTTATCTTTAACCTCTCATGGGTTTTGTAAACATTTTTATGTACCACAGGGTTTTGTGTTTTCTTTGCTTTAGAAAGTATGTGTTAGATTCTATGTTCTAGCCATCCATCTTTTTGGATCAGCATGATTTTCCTTGAAGTTGTTCATTATATGTGTCTATACAGCTTGTTTTAAACAAGATGGGATGCGTGTAATTTACATAATCAACTCAAAGTACTAATTGGAGAAGCCACTATTTTCAATATCCTAGAAAAACAATACCAGTCTAAAACAAGAATATTGAAAGGACCTACTTCTCTAATTAGTAGACAAGGGGTTTATCTTCCATTTTATTCAAAATGTTACTGGGTCTAAGTGTTTTGCCACACCAAAGATTAGTGACATTTTGATCTAGGAAGGTCAAAAATAAGATGCCTCAACTAGTATTGCACAGAAGTTGCCCTTTATACTTTACAAAGTAAACAAGACACAACACATAATTCCCTCCTCAAAGAGTAATATCATACACAGGCTATATACGAAGTTGCAGAATATAGTCCTAAAAAAACAATCCATATATGAATATTTTTGGTGAAATTATTTAGAAGAAATAGTTAAAAAATAACATTTTCAGAGTTCTGTGATAATGAGTAGAAGACATAAGCAATGGTGAAGTTACCATTTCTCTTGTTCTAGGCACCTATATACATTACATTTTGGAAAACCTTCCAATATTAATTACTTTGTCAGAAAATTTTGGCCATTAATTCTTGCTAATCTTTATCTCTGTATAAAGAAATTCGTGCTCACTGCTTCCTCCTCCAGGAGACACATAGCATACCATAATTAGGCCACTGCAACATTATTACTATTTTTTTTTAAATCAGACTTTTAAAGACATTTCTTACAAGACGTTTTATCTAGACATCAAACAATTTTTTTAGTTATTTTCTGCTTCCTCACCATGATTTTCAGTGTTCTTCAAAACTTGCGGACAGCACAACTCTACTCAGAATTCCACTATAAATTTCACTAAAGTCATGTGTAAGGAAAGCACCACCACAGTTTTAGTCATTAGTCCCCAAATTATGCACTGAGAAACACATAATTTGTTCTTAATATTTCAGATAGAATTCAAATGATGAATAAATCAGCTGAAAAACAGAGACCTTGCATAATACTGGTTTTGGCTGTATCACATTACACCTTTGCAATTTACCAAACCATGCAATTTACTGTACCTCCATGCCTTTACTGGTATTTAGTATTCTGGTCAATCTATGGTCTGAGAAGAAAATTTATTGTTTATTTCCGGATAACTTGGGGGAATATGAGTAGAACTGAGTTAGTCTAGAGACAAAAGGGATATATATTGTTCATAGATGTCCTCAGACTGTGGTCAACTCTACAGAAAATAATACATTGAGATGTCATAGAATCATAGGATAGTTTGTGTTGGAAGAAATCCTAAAGATCATCTAATACCAACCCCTCTGCCATGGGCAGGGATGCTATCCACTACATAAGGTTGACCAAGGCCCTACCCAACCTGACCTTGGACACTTCCAGGGATGGGGCATCCACAGCTTCTCAGGGCAACCTGTTCCAGTTCTTCACCACTCTTTGACTAATGTTCTTCCTAACATCTATTCTAAACCTTCTCTCTTGCAGTTTAAAGACTTGCCTTTTGTCCTATAACTGTCAACCTGTACAAAAAGTCCCTCTCCCTCCTTTTTAAAAGCCCCATTAAGGTATTAAAAAGCTGCAATGAGGTCTCCCCAAAACCATCTCTTCTCCATACTGAATAATTCCAGCTCTCTTAACCTGTCTTTGTAGGGGAGGTGTTCAAGCCCTATGATCATCTTTGCAGCCCTCCTCTGGATCTGCTTGAACAGGTCCATGTCTTTCTTTTGCTGAGGACCCCAGATCTGGACCCAGCACTCCAGGTGGGGTCTCACGAGGACAGACCAGAGGGGCAGAAACCTCCCTCAACCTACTGGCCACTCCTCTTTCGATGCAGCCCAAGATGCAGTTGGTTTTCTGGGCTGTGGGCACAAACTGTTGGCTTATGTCCTGCTCTTCATGCACGAGAACACCCAAAACCTTACCTTTGGGTCTGCTCTCAGTGACTTCTCCCAGTGTGTACT